GCAACGATGCGCATGACTTCACGACCTTCCATCGTGCTCCTGGCGGTCTGCGAGGAGATGCCCCGTCTTTCGATCTCACTCGCGAGAGCACGTAACTGCGATGATGGCTGCGGACATTTAACTATATCGTTGACCCTTGACATGCAGTCAGCTGCAACCATCAGGTCGACGCGGGCGAAATGGCCGGAGCCCCTCAAATCCTTCGCACCCACGCTTTGAAAATAAAAAGCGTCCGCGATCCAACCGACAGCTTCCTCGCAGTGCGGCGAAGCCGATGCCGCCGTCCTGACGACATTGCGACGCCGCCGCTGGCAACTGGCAGCATCGGGGATCGCTTCCAAGACAATGTGCTCCGTCCTGCCTGCGTCGTTCCAATGTTGCGCAGTGGCTGGGGCGGCATCCATCGACGGGAAGCGGGGGCCATCGCCGCCGCCGCATCCCGGCGGATCACCTCCAGGTGGACCTCCACCGCGCCGGCGCTGGCGATCTGGATTGCCATGTTCTTCTCCGTCGGGCGTTGGGCACGCGTCGTCCTCAGGGCAGAAGTCGCAATCGTGCTCATGATCGTCATCGCCATCATCTCCGCCGCCATCACCAAGTGGGCCTGGGCCTAAGTGATTCGGCACTGGTACCTCCCATGGGGGGGTCGCCTCTCTCCCGCCATCTGTTTGAAGATGCCCGGCAAACTCCCGGGCGCTGGAGGCGCGCGCCCTGGGATAAGGGTCGGCGCGCTGGCGCGAGCTGCCCCCGAGTTGGAATTTGCCCGGGCGGCGGCCGCCTCGGCCCTTTCCTCGCGCATCTCTTGGATTTCTACCCTGCGATCAGCAGGCGCCCTGGCGTTTTCCTTTTCGCGCTGCGTAGCCTGTTCGAGATATTCCTTGGGTCTCATTCTTGGCCCTCGCAGTAAACTCAATTGATGTTTCCGATCCGGCGCTCTCAGCCCCCGGCGACCATCGCCGCCCGAGGCGTTCTCCTGGGCGCGCGCGGGCCACATCAATCGATCACGAGAGACCGCCCTTGGCATAGACGCAGCGGCGCTCTGTTCCTGATGTTTCCCTCTTGCCTGGCTATCCTCGCTTTCTTTCTCCTGAAGTCAACCCTCAGCGTCGCCGTTTCCGAAGCAGCGCGCGCGCATCTTGCCGCCCGGCGCCGAGCGGTCGTCGCGGGCGCCTTCGTTGCAGGAGGGGCATTTGGAGCATGGAAGACAACGCAGAGCCCCCGCACGGGGATCCCGACCGGAGTTCCTGCACGCGGCTGGTCGCCCAACCGCGGCCGGCGCCGACGAGCGCGCTGTAGACGCCGCCGCCGCGCCCGCTTGGGCCATCGACCCGGCGCCTGAAGATGTCGCCGAAGATGCTCCGATCGGGCGCCGCTGGATCTGGCGCTGATCAAACTTGCGACGCAGGCTGCCCCGCTCGGCTTCCCGACGCATCATCGCCCGGGGGCCCTCCAACTCTGCTGCGCGAGTATTCGCTGCGACTTTCTCCTCGGCGGCCACCTCGACTAGTCGCATATCCTCGCGGGCGCGCAGCGCCTCGGCCTCGGAACGAGCGCGGCTTTCATCCGTGCGGTTCGTCTCGGCCTGCTTAATTGCAGCGGCAGCCTCTGCGGCTAGCCGCGCGCGCCGACGCCCCGCTGCTCGCAGCGCCTTGGCGGCCAGCAACATAGTCGTTCGCCGAGGTTCACCGGCCCCCAGGACAGCGCGCCTCGCCTCCCCTGCGAGATTCTTCCCCCGGGGACGCGCGCGGCGCTCGGAGGCAGCGGCAGTCTCCAACCTGTTGGCGAGCTCTCTGGCGCGGCAGAAGCCCGTCGAGCTGCCGCCGCCCATTGACGCTCCTCCAGGCAGCGCTCGGCGTTCACCGCTGCCCCCCAGTCTCGCTCCATCTGAAGGGCGGCAACCGCCTGTCGCTGCGACCCCGAATGCGTCAGTTGCTCGTGCATTTCAGCACGACCTCTCTCCCTGAACACTTTAATATCAGACCTCCTCCTCCCCTCGGCTTCGCCCCGCTCATTCGCGCGCAATCCAGCGCAATGGCGCGAGCTAGGAGCGGCGGGCGGCGCGCGTCGGGCATGGGGGGCCCAGGTTGCAGAGGCAGCAGACGCCAGAACGCCCGAATCAGACGGGCTTCTTGCGCCGGCCCGAAGGCACCGCGGTTCCGGCACTACAGCGCACTTCGGCCCATGGGCGGCACACTTGTCGATGGCGCGCGCGCGATGATAGCGCTGGGCCTGCCCGGCAAGTGAGACAGATCAGATACCCCCAATCGCGGCCTGGGGCCCCGGGCCCGCCCCTCTCGGCGCCCCTCTCGCGGGGAGAGCGGGCGCGCGAGCCCGGCGCCCCAGACAAGAAGTCGTCGCGGCGGAGACCCGGGAGCATAGCTCCCGGGCGCCCCCCGAAGCGAACTCAGGGTTGCGCTCCGGGGCGCCGCCGGATCTACTTCGCTTCCCGATCGGCGAGGTCGCTGAAAGACTAACAGGCTCACGTCTCTGCTTGCACGTCGCCCTTACGGGGCCGCCCACGAACTCCTCGTCTACGATCTCCTCCACGCTCCGCCCCAAAGAATCGCCGGATGGAATCGCGGCATCCTCGCCGCGCGCGACCGGCGCTTGCGTGGAGGGTTGGAAATCGCCCAGTGGAACAAGAAACGTGGTCATAGACCTCACCCCCCCCCCAATGACGCGGCCGCTGATCACCGCGAAAGCCGATGGGCCTGGGCGCTGACCTACGAGAGCAAATCCCTCCGACGAAATTGACTCCACATCGCGGTCGCCGTCCGAGAAGTGAATTGGGACATCGGGTTGATCAACGAGAGGCATGAGGTTCTCTTCGTCTTCTCCGTCTCGGTCGGGTCGCGCGTTGCCCTTGATCTTCGGCGCACTAGGACGAGGCTCGCCATCGAATGAGAGATTCCAGCAGCTCTTGGAAGGAGGACGTCGGCTCGATTCCCCGACATAGTCGGCAGAACCTCGCTCAGGAACATACACAGTCACATCGTGGCGCGATTCTTCTTCAGGGCGTGCATCATCCTCGGGCGGTTGGAAAGTATTCTCCCTCGCCTGAAAGAACCGCGATCGTCGAAGATAGAGCATTCGGCTGGCAACAAATATTTTGCCAACTCAAAAATGAAATGGGCTCTTTGATGGCCATGCTGAAGAGCAAAATGTGACCGCGATCGTCTCGCACGCGTTCTCCTTCATATTCTTCCTGTAGTAGTCTCTTGCTCAGGCTTATCTTCAATGTAGGCGATGTTTCCCTCAATGCCATGGGTATACGAATATGATGGTGCCCGTTAAGTTGAGGCTAGCAACAATATGTGGAAAAAAAGAAAGCCGGGGGAGGGCGCCCGGGAAGGCGCGCGCGCGCCAGGCGGGCGCGCCGCGATCCTTTTTCTTGAGCTATTCAATATTCCTCAACAGCTGCGACGAAACTGTGGGTCAGAAGTGGGCACAAAGGGATGACTAAATCAACTATTGTTTCAATGTTTGACGTATTCGTTTTTTCTGGCTTCCCGACGATCCCAGACGGCCCTGGAGGGTCCCAAGAGGGCCCCCAGACGGCCAAGAGGTCTCCAAGACGCCCAAGATGGCCTCCAATACTGCCCTGGAACACCCCAAGAGGGCCCCAAGTCGCCCCAGAGAGGCCCCCAATACGGCTTCCGACAGGCCAGGAATGCCCTTAGACGGCCGAAGGGGCCCCCGACAAGCCTACAAAGGCCCCCAAAAGGTCCAAGGAGGCCCCCAGGATGCCTCCAAGAGGCTCTCAGGAAGGTCCCAGGAAGCCCCAGGAGTGCCCCCAGAGGCTCCCAATACCTCCTCCACAATTGCTCAATATGAATACTACTCTCCTCCTTTCCCTGATGACGGGTTGGGAAGGTTCGCCCCCCCCCCCCCGCGTACCGTTTGTTTACACACAAGATTCCCCGGAATTGGGTTTTCGCCTGCATTTGTTTTCAAAATGCTGTTCTCGCTGAGGCGCTGGCCTCATTTTCGGGCCCCGCTCGTTCCGAATCGTGCTCCCGCTGAGGCGCTGGCCTCATTTCCGTGCTTCCGCTCGTTCCGAATCATGCTCCCGCTGCAACGCTGGTCTCATTTCCGCGCTTCCGTTCGTTCCGAATCGTGCTCCCGCTGCAGCGTTGGCGTCATTTCCCGTGCCATGCCACGGCATGCAATGCAATGCTAGGTTGCGTTCCGCTGCGCGATGCCACGCCTTCGGCTGAAGCTGTAATATGCAGTGCTGAAGTGCCACGTCGTGCTATGCCATGATACGCTTTGATCTTCAACGCCATGCTATGCAATGTTATGTTCGGGGCCGCTGTGCGATGCCATGATTTGCGTTGCAAAGCTTTGTGCTGCAATTCTTCACTACGCCACGCCACGCCATGCTGTGACATACTACGCTTTGCGGTGCTCTTCTACGCCATGCCATGCCGTTCTCTACAATGCATCGCGTCCCCTTTCGGGATCATTGCCCTGCTCGACATCCGACTGTGCGAGTAGAGAGGGGATCTACGCCACGGTAAGGGATGGGAGGGGGGGGTAGGATGTCAGACATGACTCGAGCGCACCTAGCTTGTCTTCCTCCTCCTCCTCATCCTGATATTCCCCGCCATCCTCCCCTAAAAGTGTTCCCCGAAAGGTTTCCACAACGGTTGGACAAACACATGGTCCGATAGCTTGGCAGGAGCTCTTGCAACAACGTTCGGCCACATGGGCGATTTCAAAAAAACAAGGGGCGGCGGCGATTTCGCCGTAGGCGTCTTCGATGAATTGTTATAGGGACCTATGAGAAAAACACTTGGGGGAGGGTGTACTGCAACATCGTTGACGCGCCCCTCCTCCACATCGTCGTCCTCGTCCTCGTCCTCGTCCCCCTCGTCCTCCTCGACCTCCGCGTCCTTCTCCTCTCCCTCCCTCCTCCTCCTCCTCCTCCTCCTCCTCCTCCTCTTCCTCCTCCTCCGCCCTCTCCTCCAGCTCACCCTCCTTTGGGCGGGGGGGGGCGCCCAGCGGCTGCGATGCCACCGAACCCGCCCGCCACAGGCACACCGCCGAGTCCGCGCCGCAGCTCAACACCAGCTGTCAGTGAGGGGCGCACGGGGGTGCGGAGGGCCGAGGAGAATATCCTCGAACTTGTTCGTCCCTCTTCTCCTCCTCCTCCTCCTCTTCTTCCTCCTGTTCCTCCTCCTCCTCCCCTCCTCCTTCCATGTACTCCTCCTCCTCCTCTTCGTCGTCCTCCTCATCCTCCTGTTTCTCCTCCTCCTCCTTGTCCTCCTCTTCCTCCTCTTCATCCTTCTCCTCCTCCTCCTCCTAATTCACAGCCATCCTCTTCCAACCTCTCGTCCCTCCTCTTCCTCCTCCTTCGACCTCCCCCTTCCCTTTTCCGACCTTTTTGTTCGCGTACCCCCTCCGCCGCATCCTCCTCCGGTCGGGGAAGAAGAGGAGGCCACTCTGCGGGCGGATTGGACTCTTCAGTCCCGGCGTGTGTTTTGGTTTCGGCTTCACACAACTTCGGGTACGGCTGCCGGGGCCCAGGGGCCATCAAGAGAGGATCTCGGACGGAAGCATGCCCCTGGTTGGGCAACGCTTCGTGGGAGGGGCGGTACATGGGGGGAGGAAGGTGCAGCACTTCTCGGGCCCTAGAGGCCCCCGTTTGGGGCCTAGAGGCCCTGCAGGGTGCATGTTCTCCAGCCTTCGCTGCCCTCCCATTAACCAGCTCCCCATTACGCGCGGGCCGACTGGGCAAGGGATCGACGCATCTGGGGATCGCGGATCGAAGGAAAACGGCAACGAAGTCGGAGAGAGGTCGGGGGGGCACCAGGAGGAGGAGGAGGAGGAGGAGGAGGACGACGAAGAGGAGGAGGAGGAGGACGCCAGGCACAGGAAGGGGTCTCTTTGCACCCTGAAGTAGCAACAAGGTCCGGGGCCCACATCGAAACTCTTTAGTATGCGTGTACGTATATATACACACATATATACATACATATACATATACATGTATCTATATTTATATATAGGCATGCGTGGCTTCACCTGGACAATAGCTGATACACTACATAAGGAGAGGGGGGCAAGGGAGTGGACGTTTGTGGCGGACGCCCAGGACGAGCCCTCATTGGACCCCCGCCCCTCGGCGGGGGAAACCCTGCAGGGTGGGCGGGTGGAAAAAGGGCAGCAGCAGCAGCCGCTCAAGCCAGACGGCTGCCAGGGAGAACGAGGGGAGAAGAGAGAGAGAGAGAGAGATGCACGGCGGGGGGGAATTACCCCGTTAATGGGGAGACCCCTTTAACAGAGTCAAATTACCCCGGGCAAAACCCGATACACTACTCAAGGAGAAGAGAGCGGGGGGGCGGACGTCTGTGGAGGACGCTCGGGAAGAGTCCGCAATGGACCCCCGCCCCCAACGCCCGTCTCCCGTCCGGGTCAGACCCCCATGCCCCCCCCCCCCCTTTGCCGGAACAGCGCGGCGCGGGGCGCGGGACTGATCGCGCGCATCCCGCGCGCAAGCGCCAAGGTGCCAAGGGCAGAGCGAGCCTGCGCCAGGCCGGCGCCGAGGCGGGCCCCCCCCGGGCCGGCCTGCAAACCAGACAGGCGCCGAACGAGCACCGGCGGGGTCGAGAATGAGCCCCGCCACGCAGCGGGTGCCATCGGGCGCCTCTGACCGTTAGGCGAGCTCCCCCCGCGGGTTCTGTTGGCGCCTGGGTTCCTCCCGCGGGCGCCGTTGGTGGCCGACCGCCATCCTTACTTTGACGGAGGTACTCTTGTCGAGAATCACTAGGAATCCGTATGGTTGGTGGTTGCAGACTCTGGCCCCCCCACTCAACGCCCGCGCGCCCCCCTCCTGAGGTGCCGCCAATGCGAGGTTCTGCCACCCCTTTTGGTTATCGTTCCCGGCAAACGCCTGGCCATCTAGCCACCTCTGGAGCGGGATGGTGCGGTTTCGATAGCAGGTCTGGTTACTCATGCTTTTCATTGCGCCCGTCGCGCGTCGATCGCCACGATGGGCGAGAGCTCGCGATCGACGCGATGGGTGGTGACGCAACGAGTCGCGAGCTTGAGGGCCTGGTCGGTTCTACTTTTGTCACCCATCGACGCCGACTGAAACGCTACTCGTGCGAGGGCTTCAAATAGTTCCAACACGCAGGGCGTTCGCTCTGAGAGGGGCGATCACTATCCTCATCGTGCAACTTGTTGGTGCGAAAGGAAAGTGGGGGGGAGTGAGAGAGCAGGTAGCATGGTCAGCATGCGCCCCCCTCCTCTCTCCCTCGTTCCTTCCCCCCGCAGGTATCTTCAGGGATGTTGTGCGCATTCGTTCGCCAACAGAGACAGCATTTGTTTCCCGCCCCCCCGCCCGAAGCAAACGCACTGCGGGCTGCGGGGCGGTGGCGCAACGAGTCGCGACCTTGAGGGCCTGGTCGGTTCTACTTTTGTCACCCATCGATGCCGACCGGAACGCTACTCGTGCGAGGGCTTCACATAGTCTAACACACAGAGTGTTCGCTCTGAGAGTGGCGATCACTTTCCAGGGGCGGCATCTGGGGATGCGTGGGCTTGTCCACATGCTAACAACCACACGTTGACCACGACTTCGGAGCACCGTGCCGTGCGAACTTCCACTGAGCCCTCGCAACGGCACTGGCCCCAAATGACCCGCCACTCCGCAAAAAACAAAGGACCCGCATGCGATAATCTTGATGACTCTTCGTTCGCACAGCCTGGACCCAGGCTTAATTTACAAGGCGCGATCTGGAGTCGATCTGCTTTCCCGCAGCCCGGTCTGGCCTGCCCAGTTGCCCGATTGCAAGTGCTTCACCGTGGGCCTTCGCTCACGCTGTCTAAGCCTGCACGTGCCCGCGGGACAAATTATTCGGCGAAGCCAAAGGAGGGGAGCGAAATACGGAAAGGAGGGAAAGGGGAAGGGGGGATGGTGGGGGGAGGGAATGGAAAAAGGTCTCCTAGCGGTGGGGGAAAGGGGGAAAAGGAAAGTGGACCTGGACATGCGACAATCTCCGGGACAACTCCGTGATCCAGCGATCTCTTAGCATCTTCATGCTTTGGACGCCCGGATTCGGTACGGAAAAATGTGTACGATGCCCAACAACAAGTGCTGTCCAAAACCGAAAACGGCCACTGTTGAGCAGGCGGCCTTTTGTTTCAAATGGACAACGGCCGCGGCGACACCGACAGCGAGTCCGTTTAAAAATGAACAGTAGATAGAAGAGAAAGAGAGAGAGAGAGAGAAAACAAAAAAAATAGACACAGAAAAAACAAACCAAAACACAATAACCTGCGACATACCCGACCCATCGGCACCAAAGGATGACACGTAACGCCCCGCAGTTGCGGATAAGAGTGAAAGGGCGGCGAGTAAGTCGGCAATCTGCGAATCTCTGAAAAAAAACCGCCGCAATCGTGCAAGTTTTACACACATTGCACAGTGAGCCCGCCGCAAAGCCGATTTATTCATTAAAACAATGTGGGTGGGTCGCGGGGTGGGTCGCGGGTGGGTGGCAGGTGGGTCGCGGGCTGGGTCGCGGGTGGGTCGCGGGTGGGTCGCGGGTGGGTCGCGGGTGGGTTGCGGGCGGATCGCTAGGTGGGTCGCGGTTGGGTCGCGGGTGGGTCGCGGGGTGGGTCGCGGGGTGGGTCGCGGGTGGGTCGCGGGTGGGTCGCGATTGGGTCGCGGGTGGTTCGCGGGTGGGTCGCGGGCCGGGTCGCGGGGGGTGATGACGACGACGACGACGACGACGACGACGACGACAACAACAACAACAGTCTGCACCACAGAACCTCACTTCAGCCACGCGCCCATGGGACAGTGAATGACCGTTCGGCCCCCTCACTCTCATAAGGTGTGCCGAGAATAATGCGACAACAACACTGCAAGAGACGGTGCACGGCTGATTTCTATATCGTGCGAAGTGTGCGTGGGCGACTCGCGGAACGCAGGTACAAACAGCCAGAAGGCATTGTACTGGGAAGGAGAAGCAAAGGAAGCCATCGGGGTGGAAGAACAATCACCTCGGCAGAAGCAGCGAGATGATGGGATAAGGATACATCGGCGGAGACGCAACCAGACAATGAAGTGTCGCGATGTTCCATGCCGAAATGCTCAACACCTGCGCGGCCAGCCCCCCCCCCCACTCCAGGGATGGCGAGGTCCTCGAGGTCTGCGAGGGGCCCCACTGTACTGCCCCCCCCCCCCCAGCAACCCTCAAACATAATTACACCTTCACGCTTCGCAGCCCCCCCGCCCAGGGATGGCGGTGACCCTTGGCCCCCCAGCAGCCTTCGAAAGCGGCAACAGTTTCACACTTCGCAGCCCCAATTTGGGTCCGCGTGTGACCCCATTGTGCTGGCTCCCCCAGCAGCCCTCGAAAGGGGCGACAACTTCACACTTCGCAGCCCGGAGGGATGGCGAGGCCCCGTTTGGGTCCACGTGTGGCTCCGCTGTGCGGGCTCCCCAGCAACCCTCGAATATGGCGACGCCTTCACACACTTCGCAGCCCCCCAGGGATGGCGAGGTTCCGTTTGGGTTTGCGTGGAGTCCCACTGCGCGGGCTCCCCCAGCAACCCTCGAAAGTGGCGACAATTTCACACTTCGCAGCCCCCAGGGATGGTGAGGTCCCGTTTGGGTCTGCTGTGTGGCCCCGCTGCGCTGGCTCCCTCAGCAGTGGCGACAATTTCACAGTTCGCAGCCCCCCAAGGATGGCGAGGTCCCGTTTGCGTCCGCGTGGGGCCCCACTGTGCTGGCTCCCTCAGCAGCCCTCGAAACATCGCAGCCCCCTAGGGGTCGCCAGGTCCCCTTTGGGCACGGCCTCCCCTGTCTCTGTTGCAAGCGCGCCCGCTGCCCGCGGCCAGCACGGGCGGGGGCAGGGACTACACACCCCAGCAGCTCCTCCTCCTCCTCCTCCTCCTCCTCCTCCTTCTCCTCTTCTTCTTATCCTTATTATTAGTATTATTCCTGGTATTGCCATTATGAGTCGCAGTCTTACTAATAGTATTCTTAGCGTTATCATTATTATCATTATTATTGCTGCTATTCTTCTGATTCTTATTATGAAGATCAATGTTGTTCTTATTAGTGCTACTATTATGTTTCCTCCTCCTCCTTCTCCTTCTTCTTGTCTTCCTCCTCACCCTCCTGCCTGTTTTTGCAAGTTTCTGCATCCGGGGGCCCTCCACGGGCCCTGGGGCGATAAACATACTACTCGGGACGAGAAACATCCTGGAAAATGGGTCGAGACCTCTGGGGGTCCACGCTGTGAAGAAATAGGGAAGTCGGGGGAGGCGCCTGGTCATGGTGGTGGTTGTAGCGCGCGTGCACGATCCAGTGGTGGTGGCCACCGCTCAAGGCCAACAGGCACTTGCTGCTGTTCCTCAGGTCCCAAAACCTGAGGGCACCCGCGCCGAGGGGGGAATGGAAGGGGAGAAAGGGCGGGGCGAAAGAGAGGTCGGCTGACCTGATCAACACCCAATGTGCGCGGAATGGGGAGCTGACGGACGGAAGCGGCAACATCCCCCATGGCCAGGGAGGAGGGAGGGAGAGGGACTGCGAAAATGCAACACTTCGGACAGCAGGCACTTCCAGGCCCAGAAGATACAAGCACCTCGCAGACCTGAGTCACAAGGCGGGGGGCGCCGCTTACGAAACACGGGTGGGATGACCTCTTCCCCTGGCGCGGCCAGTGCACACCCCGACTGGAAAAATAGCCAAGCGAAGGACCAAAACCATATGCAGTCGTGCGTGGCGCTCCCTATGGGGCCACGAAACGTGTGAGGAGTGTGCCAATATGGGGCGGCGGCGCCATGCGAGGTGCGCCACTGGGACCTTAGTTGGAGCTCCCTATGGGGCCACGAAGCGTGTGAGGGGTGCGCCAGGAGGGGGCGGCGCCGCCATGCCCACTGGGACCTTAGGAGGAGCTCCCGATAGGGGCCACGAAGCGTGTGAGGGGTGTGCCGAAACAGAGACATGCGGAGAGCAAAAGCAAGGAGGATGAGCAGTGAGCAGCAGGAGGAGGGGGAGGGAGGAGAGGGAGGAGGAGGAGGAGGAGGAGGAGGAAGAGGAGGAGACGCGGGGCGCTCTCTCTTCAAAACGATGACCCAACACCTCAGGATGGTTGGGGAAAAAACAACCGGTATGCGGTGATCAGGGCGTGGCACGCCCCGTCTGCACTCCCGAAACTGCAAGGAGACTCCGGCATTCAACACGCGTTGGCATGCGCGCTCTGGAGCCTTTCCAAGAATAACTGGCTCCGCCTCGGGGCACCCCGGCATCCCCCTCAGCGGCCCTACGCATCAGAGCTACGGTCAAATTGCCAACAATTCACGCAGCGCGCTCATAATGTGAAGGTAGCACTGGTATGCTACGGGCGAGCATCTAGATTCGCCTGGTCGCTCGCCCGGGGAAACGCCTTGGGGCGAGCAAGCGATCGGGCCTGATGAAAGGCGATCCAGGCGGTCTGTGCCCTTTGGAACCTGCCAAGCCAGGGTCCTGACTGTTCCCGGGCGCTACGCAGCTTGAGGCCAAGTCTGGTAGCACGCTGGTGCATCGTCATGATGCTGGTGTGCGGGCGCCCCCGCGGTCGGGGCCCACTGATCGATTAAATGGCGGCCGTGGCGGGCGTCGCGTGGCGCACCTGCGTTCGGTGGCCTGCCCTTGGGTCAGTCGGCTGCCTTCACCCTGGTAGGTGATGCTGCGGTAGTGCATGGCGCCAGGGGCCTTTGCGTGCTGTGGTGGGTGTGAACCTGCTGGTACCAATGTGCGCCAGCCCTGGTTGGCTGGCCATGGACCTAGCAGCGCTCGAGGCACTACTCATGGTGGTCAGGGTCGAGAGGTTGCTCCCGGTTGTGCTGCTGAGCGATGCGCCGCTGGATGCCTTTGTGGTGGATCTTTGTGGTGGGCACCGACATGATACTCGAGACAGCATTCGGCCCACGCGTGGGCGCGGGGCCGAACTGATGCTCCCCGACGCGATGCTCCACGTCGAGATGCTTATAGCGCCCGTGGTGCAGCTCAGCGATGCGATGCTCAACGCAGTGCCCGTCCCGCCAGCGCACGTCAAAGTCGAGCTGATGCCCCAGTCGCGCTGCTCAACGATGCGCTGCTGAGCCCGCCGAGGTGGTCAGCGACGCGGTACTCGGGGCAAGATTCGCCCACTCGCGGTCGTGGATTTGAAGCTGCTTGTGCCCGCGCGCGCGGGCCCCAGCGGGCTGGGCATGGACCTCGCAGCCGTGCTCGTCACGCTAGCGGGCGCCCAGCGCGAGATGCAGCTTTTCAGCCGCGCTGCTCAGCGATGCGCGACTGGTGCCCGCCACGGTGGTCGTCGTCGAATTCGAGGCAATGCTCGTCCCGCTCGTGGACGCCCTGGCTGGGCTGCTACGAGCGGACGTGCTCGTCCGCCTCTCGGGCGCGAGGATCGAGCTGCTGCCCTCCGCCATGCAACTCGACGTCGAAATGGCAGTGCCCGTCGCGCGGCTCAGCGACGCGGCGCACGGGGTGGCGCCCGTCCCACAGGTGACCGTCAGGGTCGAGCAAGTGCACTCCGACGCGCCGCGCAAAGGTGCCCTGCAGGTGCCCGGCGCGTTGCTCAGCAGCGTGACTTAGCAGCACTCAAGGCGTGCTCGAGGCGGCGCTCGTGCCACTCACGGTGGCCAGGGTCGAGCTGATGCCCCCAGTCGCGCTGCTCAGCGATGCGCAGCTGGTGTTTTTCGTGGCGGGCACCGACATGATGCTCGAGACAGTATGCGCCCCACTGGCGGAATCGGGGGCAGAGCTGATGCTCCCCGACGCGATGCTCCGCGCTGGGGTGCTCCTAGCGCCCGTCGCGCAGCTCAGCGACGTGACGCTCGATGCAGTGCCCGCCCCGCTGGCGCGCGTCAAGGTCGAGCTGGCGCCCCCAGTCGCACTGCTCAGCGATGCGCTGCTGAGGCCGCCGTGGTCAGCGACGTGGTACTCGGGGCAGTATTCGCCCCGCTCGCGGTCGTGGACGCGAGGCTGCTTGTGCCCGCGTGCGCGGGCCTTGGTGGGCTGGGCATGGACCGAATAGCCGTGCTCGTCACGCTCGCGGGCGTCCAGCTCGAGATGCATCATGTTCAGCCGTGCGGCTCAGCGATGCGCGGCGGGTGACCGTCACGGTGGTCGTCGTGGTACCCAACGCAATGCTCGTCCCGCTCGTGGACATCTTGGCTGGGCTGCTACACTCGAACGCGCTCGCCCCCCACTCGGGCGCGAGGGTCGAGCTGCTGCCCTCCGCCGTGCAGCCCGACGTGGAGATGCGAGTCTGCTAGTGCCCGCCGCGCGGCTCAGCGACGCGGCACGCGAGATTGCGCTCGCCCCGCTGGTGCCCGTCAAGGTCGAGCAAACGCACTCCGACGCGCCGCGCAACGGTGCTCTGCCGGTGCCCGGCACATTGCTCAGCAGCGTGGTACTAGAGGCAGTGCTCGCCCCACTAGTGCACGTCAGGGTCTGGTGCTCCCCGACGAGCTGGTCGAAGCTCGCATCCCACTCCCATGGGGCCATTGTGGCCCGTGGAAATAAGGCGAATCTCGCATCGCACATCCAATGGGCCAGCGCGGCTCGTGGAGGTAGGCCGACGCACGCCTGCCACCCCTCATGGTGGTCAGGGTTGAAGGGCTGCCCCCAGTCGCGCTGCTCAGCGATGCGCAGCTGGTGCCCTGTGTGGTGGACAACGACATGGCACTCGCGACAACATTCGACCCACTCATGGGCTCGGGGGTCGAGCCGATGCCATCTGACGCGATGCTCCACGTCGAGATGCCAGTGCCCGTCGCGCAGCTCAGCGACGCGGTGCTCGACGCAGTGCCCGTCCCGCTGGCGCGCGTCAGAGTGGAGCTGCTGCTCTCCAACGTACTTCTCCAAGCTGTGCAGCTGGTGCCCGTCGCGGTGGCCAGCGACATGGTGCTAGAGGCAGTATTCGTCTAGTCGTGGGCTCGGGGGCTGTGCTGGTGCTCCCCGACGCGCTGCTCAACGCCGAGATGCTGGCACCCGTCGTGCAGCTTAACCACGTGGCACCCGAGGCAGGGCTGGCCCCGCTGGCGCACGTCAAAAATACGCTGCTGGCACTGGTCGCGGTGCTCAGCGACGCGCTAGTTGAGACAGTATTCGTCCCGCGCGAGGGCGTCGGGGTCGAGCTACTGGTCTCTTATAGTGCCCGTGGCGTTGCTCAGGAAAGTGGTACTCGAGGCAACGCTCGTCCAACTGGTGCACTTCAGGGTCGACCTGGTGGCTTCCGCCGTGCTACTCTGCGGTGCGTGGCGTTGCTCAGGAACGTGGTACTCGAGGCAACGCTCGTCCAACTGGTGCACTTCAGGGTCGACCTGGTGGCTTCCGCCGTGCTACTCTGCGGTGCGCTGCTGGTCCTGGTCGCGCCGCCATGCCATGGTACTCGAGGTCGTACTTGTCCCATTTATAATCGTCGAGCTGCTGCTCTCGGAAGTTCTGCGCAACTTCGAGATGCCAGTGCCCGTCGTGGCGGCCCGCGACGTGGTACTCGGGGCCGTACCCGTCCCCCTCCTGGACGTCGGCGTCGAGATGCTACTCTCAAGCGAGTTGCTCAGCAATGCGTTGTTAGGCCCCGTCGAAGTGGTCAGCGACGTGGTCCTTGAGGCGGTGATCGTCCTGTTCGTGGGCGTCAGGGTCGAGAGGCTGCTCTCCAAAGTGTTTTTCGACGTCGAGATGTTAGTACCCGCCGTGCTGCATGACAAGATGTCAGCACCCGTCGTGCTGCGCAGCGACGTGGTGCCCGAGGCCGTGCTCGTCCCACTCGTGGATGTCAGGGTCGACTGCTGCCCTCCGACGTGCTCGTCAACGATGCGTTCCTGGTACTGGTCGTGGTGCTTGGCGACGCGCTACTTGAGACAGTACTCGATCCCCTCGTGGACGTTAAAGTCGGCCTGCTGCTCTCTGACGTGATGCTCCACGTCGAGATGCTGGTGGCCGTCATGCGGTTGGGCGACACGGTACTCGAGGCAGTGCTCATCCCACCGATGCACGTCAGTGTAGGGCTGGTTCTCCCCAAAATGCTGCTCAACGGTGCGCTGCTGCTCCTGGTATTTCAGCTTAGCGACGTGGTGCTCGAGATGATACTCGTCCCGCTGGTTGACGTCAGGGTCGAGTTGCTGCTCTGCGACGTCGTACTCGAGGCAGTACTCAGCCCACTCGTGGACGTCAGGGTCGCGCTGCTGCTGCTCTTCAACGTACTGCTCCAAGCTGCGTTGCTGGTACCCGTCGTTGTGGACAGCTACGTGGTGCTCGAGGCAGTACTCGTCCCACTCGTGGGCAGCAGGGTCTGCTTGCATGCCAACAACACGATCGTGGATCTAGTGACAATCGAGGCAATACTCTGGGGCAGAAGGAGAGGGAGAGAGAAGAGGGAGAAAGAGAGAGGGGGGGTGGATGGGGGGAGGCAGGTAACCCGCGGCCGGGACAAGGGGAAGCACCGGGCGCGGCGAAGGGAGCAGGGGCAGGCGCGGCGCCCCGGCATGAGCAAGCGACGCATCTCATCTCGCCCCAAAAGCACCGCAAAGGGGCGGCAGCGGCCAGTCCAAGGAAGGGCGAAGCAGGACCCCGACATCCGGCGCCGCGAGACAACTGCGATGTCGCGAACAATTCACCAACAGAGCTCCCGCCGCCGACTTCACGCATACGCGCTCGACACGATCGATCCGTGGGGGCCCCGAAGCCCGAAGTGGGCGGCCAGGAACTTGCTTGGCTGGCACGAGGCTTCCTTGGCCGAAGCGAAGAAGGGCAGTTCTTAATGATCGGCGCGGCTGCAGCAAGCTAAGAGGAATGTCTCGATGATCTCACCAGTCCGCCTGCAACGGAGGAGGGCCAGGAACACGGGCAGACAGGGTCGACATCGTGGGAACGGTGGGGGCGTGGCGATAAGGATCGGCGTGGCAGTTGTACCAACATAGTTGAACATCACTCATGTCATAATTAGTGCGCGCCAGAATTTGCGCCCCACATGCTCGCATTTTGGTTTTTGCAGCTTCCTCTACCACTGAGCCTGCCTATCTCTACAGGGTTTCCTCTGCCGCCATTGTATACCCCGCGAGTCGATGACCCAGTTGGCAATTAAGTTGTAGTACAACGCGCCAACAATATGACAACATACGATTCGACACCCCATGTCGTTTCAAGGGAAGGTGGAGGCCCCGCTGCGCTGTCGACGACATCCTCGAAAACCCGCATCCCGAAGTCGTACAACAAGCAAACAATATGGTAACATAAGATTCGGCATCTCATGTCGTTTCAAAGGAAGGTGGAGGCCCCGAGGCGCTGTCGTCGACATCCTCGGAAACCCACAACGCCGAAGTCGTACAACAAATAAACAAGATGGTAACATACGATCGGAACCTCATCATGTTTCAAGGGAAGGTGGAGGCCCCGAGGCGCTGTCGTCGAAATCCTCGGAAGACCAAAACGCTGAAGTTGTACACTACGCTGATAGGGAAGACCGAGTGTCGAGCTCAGAATGCAATGGTACACTTTGTGACCGCACAGCGGAGCAAAGTCAAGAGTATTCCGATCCCGCTGTTGATGCACACTACGAACTCATTGGTCGAGTTCGCGACAGCCTCACACTTTGCGAACTCACCCAGATTTTGGAAAACACGTATACGAACGGAGTCGAGCGTAGTGCCACAGACGGCAATATTCCTTTCAATGTCCGTGACGCATTCTTCACGGCCGCCGCTGGGTATGGCGTCATAGATGTGCTTGCCATTGGGCGCGTCTACGATACGCTCGTGCCCTCTCTGATTGCGAACGGGATCCCTGTTCAGTAATACATTCAGGATATTTGCGCAGACGAGTCGGATCTTGATTTCAAGTTCGCTACGATAATGGACCGATGACCTAGACACATTACGCCGGTATTGCGTCTACTCTGTTACTCAACCTCCATGTGATACGAAGTCGGTAGTGCCAGTTGTCTTTTTCACCACGGCCTACCCATCACTTGCCCTGTCCTGGCCCCCCTGCGGTCGTTCGTCCCTCCCCGCTCCTCGCGCCTTCTCCGCTCCGCTGGGCATTCGGCCTCTCCTCCCTCCCTCAGGTGCTGTTCCCTGCTGGCGGTATGGGGGGGTACGTGGGGCCTGGTATCCGCGTGCGGATGCCAGGCGCTGGTGCTTCGCTGTGGCTCTGGCTCGGCACTGCGTCTGCTCCCCCTTCCTCCTCCTACTCCTCCTGGGTCGTTTCTGCTTGCTGAAGGGCCGGGCAAGGCGCTCTCTCTGTCCCAGTGTCCGACTTTTGCTGTGCGTCATTGCATCTCGAATCTTCCTCTTCTCTTCCCTCGTTCTGTCTTGCTGTCTGTACCCACTGCATTGCACACTTGGCCTGGTGGCGCCGGCCTAGAGGAGGTGGGTTATCTTGTGGATGGTGGGCGTGGTGGAGGACGGCTCTTGACAACATCAACTCATCACGCTTGGCGGTGCCACGCTTAGTTTTTTGGTTGCTGCCATCACAACAGTCAGCCTTCTGTCACGGCAGCCAAAACCTTGGAATGTCTGATCTTCATGCGCTACAGCACTTCTCCTTCAGTTCTTCAGTGCTGCTGATCTGCCATGTAATTGCAAGCCAACCTTGTATTACGCGCCAGCCTACTGATACAAGGAATTCGTGCTAAACCCGTAAGAGATTCCAAAAAGCACGAGGGTCTCGAGGCCATGGAGGTTCGGGGTGAACCGTGAAGCACTGGGTAGCAGCCCAAGAATTGCCGCTGTGCTCGCACTCTCCTTCTGTTCTGTACATCGCGTGCCTGGCCAACGAAGGTATCGGTTTGGCTACGCGGGGGAATTTTTATATATATATATATGATACGATCGGGGGGTGGGGGTGGTGGAGTGGACATACTTACCGAGCAGGTGTTCCGAGTCTGCCTTTTAAAAGCAAGGGCCAGCCAGCACGACCTGTGCCAGCCCCTTTGCTCGCACTTACTTTTTTCAGCACCCGCATTTACTCTTCCACTGCAGTCGGCCTTCTGTCACGGCAGCCAGTACCTTAAAATCTGGAGGGGGGGCTGGGTACTCAGATGCAGCGGGTGTGGTCACTTGCCAGGGTACATCTGCTGCCCGTCTTGTGCCACCTGGCGGGCGCCTACTCTAGGCACTCCGCTTGGCCGCACATGTTTTGTTCCTTCCTGTCCTGTGGCGCCCGCCAGGTGGTTTTCTGCGCCAAGTCAGTCTTCAACACCTTTTCCTGTTTTACCTCTCTTTGGCTAAGGCTAGTCCAACGTAAAAATGAAGAGGAGGAGGAGGAGAAGGAGGAGGAGGAGGAAGGGGCAGCGGAGGGAACGCAGCGGCGGCTGGCGCGACTGCCGCGCACGCCGACATCGACGCCGCCAGCCCGGCGAATGTGAGAACGATCTGCATGTGTGGTAAGTTTGGTTCGGCCGCCCGGGGGGCCCACCAAAGACCCTGGGCGGTTTCGAGGGCGCTACATCGGGCTTTGTCCGGAACCGCCCGCAGTTCCGAGCTCCGAGGAAGAGCGCAGCGTGCCTGAGGAGTTCAGCCCCTGCCCCGCCAGAGAACCGCCCGCAACTCCGAGCTCCGAAGAGGAAAAGGAGAGCCCTGCCCTCTGGGACTGCATCGGCGCCTCCTGCGGCAGATGCTCCTCTGGGGCAACTGCGGGGCGCACAAACAGCAGGTGGGGGATGGGCAGGGGGAGCGGCAGGGAGAGGATGAGGGCAAGCACAGCTACATGCACAGAACCACTAAGGAGGGGGGCGTTCTGGGCTTGGTTCGGGGCTCCTCGGGGGAGAGGTAGATCCCTAAGCACACCTGGAGATCCCTTTGCTTCTCCGTCTCCGGAACCCCAGAGGTCCGCGCGCATGTCCCAGGTAGGCGTTGGAGCCCCCTTCGCATGGCGCGCGGAGCGCGCTAGAGGCGGCGCCACAAGGGGGGAGACGCTGGAGGGGCGGCACTGGAGGGGGGCCGACAAGGAATGTCCAGCATCGATCCAGCATCTCCGCAAGGAGTCACGGAAATGTACGGCGAAGGCATTGGATCAGGAATACGGGATCCAGGGTCTGGAAGCCGGCGGAGCGCCAATTTAGCATTCGCCATGGGAATCGCCGAGCCTCCTGGGCACATTTCTTATCGAACTCCCCCACCGCATCCAAAAGGACACCCGAAACCGCATGTTTCGTTTCTCAGCGAGAAGAATCTCCCTGCAAGGCAAGGTGAGGCGGAGACGCGCTGGGTATCGCGCGAGGCCTGTTTCCTGTGAGGCAACGGCGGCCTTCTCTTCGAAAGGAGGAATGACACTGCGCCACCAGAGATCCGCCCGCATCACTAGACCGACACCGTCACTGATGGAATCCGATTCGCAACACATGTTTGCGGACTTGGAAGAAAAGGAGGAGGAGGAGGAGGAGGAGGAGGCAGGAGGAGGAGGAGGAGGAGGAGGAGGAGGAGGAGGAGGAGGGGAAGGCGCTGCCATGCCTAAAATGGGGAGGGCGGCAGGAGAGGTGGCCGGCTGCGGGAACCGCAGCACCGCGTCCTCGCCCGCCGTGAGGACCTCGCCGCGTGAGGACCGGCGAGGGGCCCGCGGGGCGCGCTCTGTGGGGCCACCCTCCAGCTGGATGGATGTGTGATGCTGGGGCTGAAGGCGCCACAGTCTTAAAAGGAAAACTTCTGCTCTGTTTTGAGGTATCCCCACCGGGGAGCTGCTGACAACGGTATCAAATTCGGTATGAGTTGCTCTGCGGTGTGATCTGTTACCCCGTTGCTTACGTGCGGTCGCTGCGCCTGCTGAACATACTTGGCATAATCGAAAAGTGTGCCACATGTTGTCCGTGGAATTTGGTATGCGACACGATTCCGTGTATACCGTTGTACTAACTACCGATGCCCTCCGCATGAACACGCTATTCGTCTATGGGTGATATTGGTCTTTGCTGTAGGTTTATGTAAGCGACTGTGGCTAGTACGTTTGGAACTCATACATGTTACTTGTGACGTGTGGTGGCTCCAGCTGTTGTGTGCTACTGGTCTGGTAGGGGCACATGTTTTGTGGAGGGTGCGCCAATGGATCTCCCAGAAGCGAGACGGGGGCGGGACCACCCCCCCTCCCTAATATCTCCCCGCCCGTTGTCTGCCCACTCTTTTTCCACATCCGTCGTCCCAGACCGCCCGCCCCTCTCCCCTCCTTTCCAAGGGGGGGGGGGGGACCCCCCTCCCTGGTTTGACCCCGCCCACCTGGATTCGAAAATCGCCCCCCCCCGCCCCCTCCCCGTAGCCACGCCGCCACCCTGGTTCCAGAACCCGACCCTGCCACCCGAACGCCCTAACCCTAGCACCCCCCCACACCCCAACATTAGCACCCTTAGCCAGACACGCCAACCCTAGGCACTAACCCTAACACGAATAACACCCCAGTACTTACACGAGAACGCCCTCAAACACCCTAAAGACCTAAGCCAAACATCCGGACCCTAACACCCGAACCTCAACACTCGAACCCTAACACCCCAACCTTAACCACCAGCCCTAACACCGCACCGCCCTAACCTGAACACCCAAACCCAAAACCGAACCCTACCACCAGCCCTCCAGACGCAGGTGGTCTACTGCGTTTCCTCTTCCAACCCCCCTTCTTCCCTCTCGGGGAGGGGTTGATCACGGTTCTCTATTCGTGAACACCCTTTCCCCCAGGCGACCAGCAGCCGACCCGACCCCATGCGCGCACCCATGCCACTCCCCACCATCCTTGTGATCAACGAAACAACATCTTAGGTCAGGCTCTTGAGCCCAGTGATCATGTCCCATTGTTTTTTGACTGGGAGGGCGGGGGCGCCAGCATATTGCCTGCTGTGCGTAAGGCCACCGCCCCTGTCAACAAATGGCTCCGACGGAAAGGTCCCGCATGATAATCTTCTTACTGCGCATGATATCCGACATCACCGACGACGCGCGATGGTGATAATGCTGGAATGCCAAAGTACCAGGATGCGACCTGTGGGGCCGTTGAAACCTGCGGGGCCCGAAAGATTCGTGGGGGCTTTGAGACCGGCGGGGCCTGTGAGACAAATGCGACGTGTTTGACCTGTGCGACTTGCGTGGCTTGTGGGACCTGCGGGGCCTGTGACACCTGTGAGCCCTGGGGGCCAGTGGTCCCCGTGCGGCCTGTAGGACCTGTGAGGCCCATGGGGCCTGATGGGCCAGGGGGACCTGATTGACCTGCGGTGTGTGTGGGACCTGTGGGACCTGCGACCCCTGCGGGTCGCATTTCTCCCCGTGCGCTTCTCCTTCCTTCTGGCCAGGGCACGCAAGTCGATGTTCCTTGGCGCCTTCGCCGCCGCGGCCGGCAGGGGTGCACATTCCGATGGCCAGATCGCGAAGCCGTTGGGGCAACCCCGCGGGCCAGGCCTTTGGGACAACCCCGCGAGCCGATGGGGGGCGGAAGCAAACCGTTGGGACAACCCCGCAGGCCTCGAGCTACTCGTGGCCGCGCACAGGCGGGAGGCAGCGCGAAGCCCAGCTCTGCCGCGAGCTGCTCCGCCTCAGCCCTGGAGCTCACCGCTGTCTTGTCCAACTTCCTGAGCGCATCCCGCACGGACGCCGGCGGCCCGCGCTCCAGAAATTCTCTCGCAGGCGGCCGCACGATCAGCACGTTCGGCATACACTTGGCGGAAGGGCTTCCTCCGTACTCAAGCTCGAAGAAACCAACAAATGACGACAGCTTCAGGGTTCCTATGACCGCCTCGGATTAGTAACGTGAGTTGCGTGCCACATAGAAAGGGAGGTTCCCACCTGAGACGTAGATAATTGACCCGCCTCGGATTCGAATACGAAGCGCGGGGCCCTTAGGAAGGGGGCTTCCACTCGCGATTTCTTCACAATTCACTCACCGACGAGGCCCCTTGGGGTGCTCAAGTGCTATGCATGCTATGGTAGACCGACCCGCCTCTGACTCTACCATGAAGCGACAGGCCCTTGGGGAGGGGCTCCCGCTCGAAACTTGCTCAACATACACTCACAGACGAGGCAGATTGGGGAGCTCCAGTGCTATGCCTGCTATGGTATGCCGATGTCCGCCTCCGATTCAAACATGAAGCGCCGGGCCTTTTAGGGAGGGGCTCCCGCTCGAGAGTTCCTCACAAGTCACTCACAGACATCGCGACTTCGGGTGCTCAAGTGCTATGCCTGCTATGAAAAGCCGATGACCCGCCTCGGATTCGAACGTGAAGTGCGGGGCTCTGAGGGAGGGTGCTCCCTCTCGAGACCTCCTCACAATTCATTCACAGACGAGGCTCCTTAGGGTGCTCAAGTGCTATGCCTGCTATAGTAAGCTAGTGACCCGCCTCGGGAGTGAAGTGCGTGGCCCTCTGGGAGAGGTTCTCGATCGAGACTTCCTCACAGTTGACTTCGACCGATGGCCGATGATCATGATGGCATGGTGGTAGTGATGATAATTGCAATGGTGGTGGTGATAACCATAATGATGCCTGTGACGAGTAGGTATGTACACGCGTGAGGGTTATGATGATGGGTGAGTGAGTGAGTGAGTGTGTGAGTGAGTGAGTGAGTGGGCGATGATGATGAGAAGCAGGAGGAGGAGGAGCAGGAGTGTGCGAGTGTGTGAGTATATGAGTGGATGGGTGAGTGAGCGAGTGAGCAGGAGAGGGGGTGAGGGGGTCCAGGGTTCCTGTGCAGAGGTTCAGAGAAAACGAGAACCCCACACAGGATGCGGGGACATGTGATGGTGACGATGGTGGTGATGACGGAGATGATGATGATGATGATGATGACGATGATGATGATGATGATGATGATGATGGTGGTGGTGATGATGATGATGATGATGATGAGCATGGTCATGATGATGGTGATGATGATGGAGATCAGGATGATGAATATGTTGATGCTGATTCGGATGATGATGATGATGATGACGATGATCATGATGATGTTGATGATGATGGTGATGGTGATGATTAGGTCTTGATGATGCCGATGCGGATGATGATGCTGATGATGCTAATGATCTTGACGTTGATGATGAGGAGGAGGAGAAGGTTGACGGTGAGGACGATGATGATGACGATGGTGATGCTCATGTTGGTCATGGTTATGATGATGATCAAGAGATGTTGGTGATGATGATGACGACGAAAATGATTGATGATGATGGTGATGATCAGGATGATGGCCATGATGACGACGACGATGAGGATGATGATGATGTTGATGGTGGTGGTGATGATGGTGATTATGATGGTGATGACGAACAGGATGATGATGATGATGATGATGATGATGATGATGATGATGATGCTGATGCTGATGATGATGATGATGATGATGATGATGGGGGTGATGATGCTGATGATGATGATGATACTGATAATGATGATGATGATAATGATAATGATAATGATGTTGATGATGATGATGATGATGATGATGATGATGATGATGATGATGATGATGATGATTATTATGATGATGATGATGATGATGATGATGATGTTGGTAATGGTGATGACGATGCTGATTGTGATGATGATGAGGAAGATGAGAAGGTGGATGGTGAGAGGGGGTGAGATCTCATGCGCGGTGGGGGGTCCGGAAGAAACAATATCCCCACTTTGGACGTGGGGAACAATGCGCACGTCGCCCCAGCGTCGCACACATGGCCTCTAGTCCCACCAGCCCTTTGGGCGTGAGTGGTTTAGCGAGCTCTCTCTGTCCTCAACCCCCCTTCTTCCCCTTCGGGGAGGGGTTTACCCCTCCCCCTATCCCCTCCCCCTGGGCCTGGAGAGGGGGTCCGGCGGGTCGTCAGGGGGGTCAATTTCGACTCCTGGGAGGGTTGAAAAACGACGACCCTCACGAGGATTCTGGCCCCGACGGGGGGGCGGAGATAAGTCCCTCTCCTCTTCTGTGAAGCCAAAAACATTGATTTTACTAGGGTTTTGGCCCCATTTTGGACTTCTGAGGGGGCAGCGCTCATCGTCCTTCATAGCAAAATCATTGATTTTACAAAAAGGTTTTGGCCTCATGTTGTCCTTCTCAGGGGGCAGCTCTTCTTTGCGCTTCTGAGGAGGTCGCAAGAGGCCCCAAGATGGCCCCAAGAGGCCCCCAGGAGGCTCCCAAGAGGCCTCCAAGAGACCCCCCAGAGGCCCCCAAGCGGCCCCAAGAGGCCCCCAAGAGGCCCCCAAGAGGCCCCCAAGAGGCCCCCAAGGAGCCCCAAGAGGCCCCCAAGAGGCCCCCAAGAGGCCCCCAGAGGCCCCCAAGAGGCCCAGAGGCTCCAGAAGGCCCCCAAGAGGCCCCACGAGGAGGCCCGAAACGAACTCACCCACCAGGACGAGGGGCCCGAACGACTCACACCACGAAGAGCCCGAACGACTCACACCACAAGGAGGGGATACCACTATCTACTACTACTACTTACTACTACTACTACTACTAACTACTACTACTTACTACTACTACTACTACTATCTACTACTACTATACTACTAATACACTACTTACACCAAATACCACTACTCCTGTAATGGCTACTACTTGCTAGTT